AAATATTTTGATTTAACTGTTAGATACCTAATTCCATTATTGTAATAATTATGCATACTGTATAATAACTGCTTTGGTATAATATTCTCAGAAAACAATATGTGAGCATGTGTAGCGTCTAACTTTCGAGCCATGTGGGATAGGTTCAGAAAACAGTATATGGGCATGCGTAGTGGGTAAATGACAAGCCATGTTGGATAGGCTTAGAAAAGAGAATGCGATCACGCGCAATGTGCAAGCAAAATTACTTTGATACTGACCATTGARCGCATCTGTCGTATCTCGACTCCAGAATCTTGATTAGAAGTGGGTGACCCATCCACACTTGACTGCAAACGATCAACATTTGAGTACGTTCTGCGTTTGAGTTTAGAGTCCATATCTTTGACATCGTTTAAAGAACTTGTACTGGAGCTAAAATTCCCATCRCTTCGATTTCGCCKGTGTTGAGTCTTGTTTTCTTTCCTATTGTTCAAACTAGAATTCTGATAAAGTTTCGCCATGATTCCTCCTGGGACGAACTCGTCTTGGTTCAACAGAGACTTCTGGGGAGACTTCTCGTTGCCTAGATACACACCACTTGCGTCATCATAGAGCCCTGTCTCCCGCTTTGCTATCTTACGGCGGCGTTCAGCCTCCTCATACCAGCGTGCAAGGATACCACCCCCCTCAGTGCGGTCTTCGTGTGTGGGCTTTTTGTTTGATGAATCATCGCCAATGTAAATRCCACTCAGTTCGTCATATGATGAATCCGCGGCTTTCTTTACGTCGTCCCCCATGTATATTCCGTTGTCATTCTTCTCTGAGATTTTGCTTAAGTTRTATCCAGGATATGTAGGGGAAGGGTTYACKGGACTACCAAACATAACAGCAGGGATGATCTGATCTTGAGATTCYACGACTGGCCATTCTTCAGTGCCGATGTGACGTATGCTGATCCAGTCATGATCACTTAGGATTTCKGCGCCTTGGCGGGTTTTTGCKATAAGGCCAAGAACGTAGTAACATGTTCTAGAAAAAATAATGTCATTATCAAGGAATAATAATGAATAATAAATTAATTAGCACACAGAGGATAGGATGCGCGTAGATTGATGTCAATAAATCCGWGAAACAAAATTTGACTATTAACGTGCGATAGTCAAATACTGCGTGCTAAAGTGTATTTGTGTACTGCTTATTTCACGGGTTTTTTGACTTCACTCCAGTGTATGAAACAAATAGTACTAATTACTAATAAATAGCTTTAATTTAAACAAAGAACTTTACTCTTTGCCATATTTCAGCACTTATTTTGCACTGGAAAATTAAAGAAAACGATAAGAGATCGCATTGACATGCACAACTGTGGCGGGTTGTAAGAAGGTTAGATAGACGTATTTACTCCATAGCTTTTGTATGGATTTTAAACAGCTGTATTACAAAACATCTGATGACAAATGAAGCTTTTGAACAAGAAAAAAAGGCAAAATATATTTACCCTCTGATTGCCATGTTATCACTTTCCTCCGCCATGGCCACAATGTCTGGTATGATGTCYTCCTCCAGCAAGAGGGTGATTCCCCAGTTAGACGAACCACAATGACCCTTGAAGTATTAAGGAATATGACATTAATATTACTTCACGAGCACGGGAGTATCGTACAATTCTTACCAGGGCCCATAAAGCAGCTTTGATCTCAGACACATTTTTTTGTGAGTCAGGCTCGAGGGTTCGTATCGTACTGACACAGTTTTCWACTTCATTCTGTAATACAAAACCATCAAAGCTATTGAAATCAACTAAAATAATAACAATATTGCCTTCTAGGAGCTTTGTATTTTGGTTATTCCTAGAGGTTCCATAAATTCTAAAGACTTAAGAAAAACACTATTGAAAGGGATTTATAAACAAAATAGAGGCCTTTAGAGGTATTTTTCAGAATATATTCAGTTTTAATATATATAGATACCGTCTTCTGAAGAAGTTTGAATCCATGTTTTTTCTGCACCAATTCGCCATACAGATGAGGTGGAAGATAGGCRTCGCTGACTGAATGTCTATCAAAACAAATTGATAAACACCATCAAATTCACAAATTGAATAGAGCAAGCTTCCATGCCATGAACTTCCGAAGGCCTCGTTGCACCAAATGGACATAACCAGGAGAGGATGTAAGTTTACCCTCCTTATTTTACAGCACATTTCAACATCCACCATCATAATAGATACCAAGAGAATATAGCAAGTAGGGTTTTGAATGATAACGTAAGTGGGTACTGGCAAATTGCGTCTCAATTCTCGAAAACTTCAAAGTTTCCGCATGGAGTTTGAGTTCTCCAGCTTTACCTCTACAAAAGGTCTTAGATTTTCAATTAACGTTGAAGTCTAACGTATGGATTGTCAAACAGGAAGTATTGTCCCATTTCATATTTTACCAGCCGTCACAGTCAAGTGGATTTTGGAACTGAGATATTGGTAAGAAACCTACTTTTTATTTGATCGMCGGACATAGCTTTCATCATCGGTTGGCTTGGTGTACGTTGTAAGTGATTCTGCCAGCATTTCATCAATCCACCTTACATATTCGACTTTATATTGCTAGAAAAGAAGATAAAAAAGAAGTCATGAAAAGAGATCAAGGAGTTATTTAATGGCAGGAATAGATCATTACCTCTTGCCACTGACGCAACAGAACTTCTAAATAACCCAGTGATGACAAGTAACTAAACCCTCTTTCAACTGTCACGAATCTGAAACAAATATCATGTTTGTAATAGTGTTCTTCACGGTTCCCTGCGCCATCTTGAAAGGTAGCCGTGCCTTTGCACCGAATCGAGACGACCGTTGAGCGTGCAATGCTTGAAACCTTCTTTCACACCTACAGACAATTATTCACAGGTATCTATCATTGCACGCTCAACAGTCGTCTCGCTTTGATGTAAAGGCACGGCTACTTGAAGATGGCGCAGGGAACCGTGAAGGAGACTTTTATAGATCATTTGTGAACGCATTGCAACGTGGGTAACTTGTACTAACTTCCAAAGAAAATACCGACAAATAGTTTAAAAAGTTATTTATTTTTTGTAAGACTTCGCCTCTTACATTATTTTACAGTGCAACAGCACAAGGAACACAAAAACGATATTTATACCTTGTCAGCAGACGGACYCCTTTGTCTCCCAGGTGAAGCAAAACGGGACGTAGTTGCACCAGGTACTGCAGATTGGCCTGATCAAAACATAATCTTTTTAAACACTAAATAATTCCATGAAAAGAAAGCTTTTATCATGAAAGAAGCCAAATCAGCTTGATTTGCCTCGAATAATATGACCGTGAGTTTAATATATCGAAGAAAAAATATGAATAACAACTTAAAGCCTTCAAAAGATTACCTCGTCTTCACAAGCTTCATCCAAGACATCAGCGGCCTCGTTTGCAACTCGTGGATTGGTGTCATAAAGCTGTGTAATAAATTCAACGCAATTGGAGAGCTGCAATATTTCATAGCAAGATATACTGTTCGTACCTGAGTGACAAGGAACTCCATGCCCCAGTTGCTGAAAAATGCTATTTTTGATCTAAGGAGAACTCGCATGTGACTTGTAGCATACAATCTGGAAGACTAGAATGAAGCACTATAATCAAGCAATGGACTAATACAGAAAACTAAACTACAATCTAAAACACGACCGCATGGAATGCCGGTTGAACAAGATCCTTTAAATAAGGATAGAACTTTATCATCATAACGTAATGATAACGACTGCAACCTCTCTTAAGCGGCCGTCTTGTGGAAAAATTCAGGTGCCCGCGTAACAGGGTTTGAAGCTACGTTTTAAGTAAATAAATATAGTCAACTATCGCTATTACGGACACCTTCGGGACCGTAATTTAGTGTCCAAAGTAGCGAGAGTCCGAAGTAACGGGAATTACTTTCAGTCAATTCTTTATTTTTCACCGGTGATTCAGTATTTACTGTCCGTATTATCGAGGTGTCCGTTATAGCGGGGTGTTGACTGTATATGAGAATCGACGTTTGGGGAATTCACCAGACCGTTTAATGGAGGGTGACCGCTTAATAGAGGTTTCGGTGAATGATGAGTCTTGCGAATCTACTTTTCCAGGAAATACCTGGTTGTTACTGGACTGTATAGAGTATGATTAGAAAGAACAAATTAAGTTTCTTACTGGATCTGGTGAAGCTGTAAGTATTTTTGACAGGATGATACGCGGGATCCCTTTGTCCCTGTAGTCCAGACTAGCAACAATCAGCTTCAGTAAGTTGTCAAGATTGGTTGAGCACAAGTCAAGAAGACTGCAAGAAAAAAAGCATTATAGTTCATTAATAATCATTAATATTATTACTACTATTATTAAACCTTTCAATATCATTATACGTTTTGATTGTTAAAGAAGTGCTATAACTTAAAAAAAGCAAACAAGCAAACGAATAACCAAACAAAAATTCTCAATAAAACATTCCCTTACTATTGGAAAATTCCAGTTTTATCCAACAGTTTGCAGCCAGCCTTWGTACTCGATAGTTTGCCAAGAAATAGAAAATAGTCTCTGCTAAGTAAGTTGGTAATYTTGTCTTTGTTTAGGACACTGTTACTGGCCATATTAGGAGATAACACYTCYTGTAARCAAGCTGCTATTTCCTGGACGAGTTCTTGAATAAGATTGCACCCAATACCCTACAAAGTACAGTTAAATTGTCAAAAATGCGGTGTTATTTTTGGCTTCTTTGGAAAAATAATGCGACGTAATGACACAGGAAGAAAAGGAGAACGCTCCCTTCTTCAATTACATGAATAGGAACCCAATCTCGCGTTCTAGGATTCTAGAGTAGTTCCCCTTAGGCTGAGAGGAACGTGGGCTSTAGAGCAAGAACGATACTGATCTAAACATCAATATGCAATCGCACTTTATAATCAGTGCACACAATATTCACTTCCTACAATAGTTAATTATGAGGTAAAGACATTAGGGTGTGCGTACTAGAGCAGTGGAGATACCAATAAAACGATGAACAACTGCATGTATTGCTCATCAGAAAATGAAACAAAAATAGAAATATAATAGAAAGGAAATAAAAGAGATGCCCTCTTCTACTCCCGTGGATTTTCACGTACCAGAGGATCATCTGGGTCCATCAAAAAGTCAATCAGTAAAAGACCAACACGGGAAAAGTTTTCTGCTCTTGGGTCTGATAGGTTTATCGAACTGAACTTTTGACTGGACGGCTTGTAGAAGTTAAGAAGGTTACGTACGAACCTGAAATTAGAATACGACAAAACTGACATTAAATAATTTTTCTTTACAAATTTCAAAAACTCTCTGTTGCTGATAATAATGAAAGCGAATCACCTTTGGTTATTATTTTCTTCAATTTTCTTCATTGAAATAAAAGGYGACTGGAGAGCAGCTTCGATCAAATCCCAATCCCAGTTTCTGTATTCTTGAGCCATGACCTTGAAACAACAATAACAAGTCAAGTATTACTACGCGTAGAAAAAAAGAAAAACAGAAAAAAATGAAACTGTGGAAGAAAGGATATTGAGTGTCCCAAAGTAGTCCAGAGAGTTAGATCGAGTTAGTCCAGAGATTTAGATCAAGAAGACTGAGACTTACTTGTGAGTCTCTGATAGCAGCTAAATATGGTTCCTCAAGCTCTTGCTAAAAGAGACAGCAACAGTGACATCAACACACGTTTTAACATTAAATTACCACAATGTAGACAAACAAAGAGCACTATATACCTTATTTATACATTGGAGAAGTCTGTCTTTGTGCTGCTTGTCAGGTTTAACCTTTGGCTCAAGAGCTCTTGTCTAAAGCAACAAGGAAACAAAATCAAATCAAAGCCCGCAAATAATTAAAAAACTTTTAAAGCCTTTATGTCGTGTATGTGACTTGCAAGGCAAGTTTTTAAGGAAAACTAAAGAAATCTGCCATGTTTTGTCCATAACAAACATATCCTACAATGCATTTCATGGTAAATAAAGTTAATCAAGCTTCAAAGGTCTATTACTAAACAATAGTTGTTGTAACACCACAGACTACATTAGTATACTAACAATACTTACAATCTGGTCAAGGTATAAACTGCATGGTACTGGACCTCTTTTCTTCATCTGATGCAGATGGTCAAGACAGTTCACTGCTGCACTTGCTAGACTACAAAGAAACACAATGTTTTTAAACTATTTTAAATGATTTTTTTAATTAATGTTTTTAAATGATTTCTTCCATTAAAATGATGCAACATTGATTGACATAATTGATTTAATAATTCATATAATACCAGTACATGTACTAGATTACAAAGGAACACATGTTCAATGATGTAACATTGATTGACATAATTGATTTAATAATTCATATAATACCAGTACATGTACTAGATTACAAAGGAACACACGTTCAATGATGTAACATTGATTGACATAATTGATTAATAATTCATATATACCAGTACATGTATATGTACTAACAAAAATAGGGTTACCACAAACCATAAATTCAAAGAAAATATCGTGATTGATTAAGAAAAGAATGGACAAACAATAAATGTTCCTCCTTAACAATACAACCCAACCTAATTAACAATGTAGGCTCTCTACTAATTAAGCCACTCAAAAAAGTAGGTTTTGAAGGGTTTGCAAAATCTGCAAAACAGAGAAAGCAGGTCTACAATCTACATGATAAAACACTTACCCACGCTCAGCTGCCGAAACTTCACATGATGTTGCTGTGTTGACCAGTGTCGGCAAACAATGAGTGTGACTGCTGCATTCAGGGGGGAGCAGGGTATTTGCCTAAATGTAAAATATCAAGCAATGCATTCTTAAGATAAGAAGTGGGAGTGAGGCAGCTAAACTAAGATACACTGTTTTAGCTACACAGATATTGTTAATATACAATACACTTCAATYAAGCTGTAACACCTCTGAAATCTTTAATCTTACCAAATGTAGCAGTTCTCCTAAAAGTATTGTGGCTCTTACAGAAATGAAGCAATCTGATGATGTTATAACTTCAACAAGACTCTGTTYAACAATAACATTAATTAGATAAAAATAAAATACAGTTGTCAAGTTTATTATTTCTTGAACTGTTTTTGTTGCATATGTATGTGGGTTCTTGGTACAATATTTATGTTCAATCATCTTCCTCTCAAAATACATACTACTTTAGCTAATACACTAGCCCACCCCAGATACAATTTATTRAATCCCAAAGTACATTGGGCTCCCTGTGTTTTCCATGGGAATGTCAACACAGGGAACCCAAATTATACAAATAAACCAATGTCCTGTCATGTTTACCTCAAGTAATCCAGCATTGATAAATGCAGACAACACAAGAGCCATGTAGTTTGTTATTAAATTGGTCCTGTAAAAAGTAATGAGAAATGATTATTGCTTTGCTTCTATTTCTTTTCTTTGAATTTGTCCTGGACTTTGTCTTCAAGTCCCAAACCCTAACATTAACAGATGTTTGATATACACTTGAGGGACGAATRCTGTGATAATAAGTACTGTAAGTGCTATTGGACCATACATGAGATATTGCCGAGCATACACAAGACTAGACTCCTCTCCAGGCAACTCATTTTCCCTCCTTTGGGCTTCCTTTGTAATSTTCATCTTGGCYGYTRGGGACTAGTGAYGGGAAAGGAAATACCCCTCTCTTGYCCCCATTCTCCCTCTTTTGACTCCCAAAAAAGACAGGAAGCCCGTGATTCTTAGWGATGCGCACAGAGGAGGCTAATGAGTTTTATAGTACACACCTTCCAGTAGATTTGGTTGCCCTGGGTAACAGCTCACGTCCCTCTTGGGCAACAAAGCCATCTGATAGTTTCCAGGCCTCTTTCATCTGTGATGGATCTAATAACAATATTTTGATAGAATTATGCAAGAAGTTTTTAACTTATGATACCTTCAATAACTGCTTACCRACACTGTTTAATGCAACATCAAAATCGTCAGTCCAGGTTGGTTCTTTTATTCTAAAAACCTGAGCTAAAACTTCCATTATTCCTTTCTATAAACAAACAGGAATATCCAAAGATTAAACATTGGTGGGATGAATGAATATGAAAGTATTTAATAAGACAATAGTAATATTAATTGAAATGCAAATGCAGCCAACTACTGGAAAAGAAGCCAGAAAAAAATCTGACTTTGAACGGGATTCGAACCCACATACATATATATCTAGTAATACTAATATTAATTAAAACATTAATTATATAGCCACATATTAATCCCAAATAGGTAAAAGCCAACCACAGCTTTTAATTGATCCTATTTGGGATCAATTTGGCAATTTGGCTATATAATTAATAGGTAATAAGACTCCATGCTGTCCAATTAAGAAATAATTAGACTCGAAAAATTCCTCTGACTGCCAAATTGGACTCGGCCACGGCCTCGTCCAATTTTTGGCAGTCCTCGGAATTTTCCTCGTCCAATTATTTCTTAATTGGACAGCATGGAGTCCTATTACATATAATAATAATATTATTATTATTTACCCTGACATCAGAATTTTGCAAACAAAAAACACCAAGTAGGGACTGAAGWCCTTTACCATCTGGTTTACAGAAAGTCATGATTCCTGAGGAAGTAATAAATCCATTTTTACCTCTTTGTATTTAGCAATTATTGCACAGTTGTATTTGAATAATAATAATTAACACCATAATTTAAAAGCACTCAATTATACCTGCCCATGATCTAAAAATAGTGACCAAAGAAAGTTTACTTGCTGTAAGACGAGCACTTTTGTCTTCCCTAAAAATGAATAAATGAATAAATGAATAAATGAATAAATGAATAAATGAATAAATGAATAAATGAATAAATGAATAAATGAATAAATTATGAGTAAATGAATAAATTATGAATAAATTATAAATAAATGAATAAATGAAAAATTTCCCAAAGCTTCACTATAAGCTCATGACAATAAAATAAGCATACTTCATTTGAGAGTCAGGTGTGTCAGCACTGTGTCTGTAGTGGAGGTCGGTGAAGGGAGCCAAGATTCCCTATAAACAGAACAGACCAGTTAATATAATTGACTTAAAATTATACGTCTAACAGTGTCATATATGCATTCATAGCCACAACACAATGGTTGACACTGAATATGACATGAAGAATTAATACATCGCCCGATTTACTAACAAATTAATATTCATTGGAGCAGGTAGTTGTGAAAGTTTCACATTAGCAAGCTTTAGCATGATGTTCACAGAAAACTGCAAACAACTGACTGCAAATCACATGACCTGCTTTTCTATAATGTAGGTTTTACCGTTACAGTTTCAACGCCAGGGTGGGCAATTTTGAGTTTGCCATATTCGTGAACACTCGCTCTTTCCAATGACTACCAAAAGCACAAGGTCAGGCACAAAATTCTTAGGTCATTGGTTCAGCTCTGCCGTTACCCGTTTGCCGTAAACGTGATGCTTAAACTCTCTATTATATCAAAGCTTACCTCAAGGCCAACATGCAGACGTACAAATTTTCTTGTTTTCTTGTAGTTCAGAAGGTATAACAGTGTAATAATAAGAGATTCATTCAACCTTGGCATTTGGCAATCAAGGACATTCCTTGTGATTGCTTGGATGCCACCCACAAATGAAGAAAGTGGTGTATTCTTAACAGCTGCAGAKAAAATAGAATGTCTTGAGTATTGTGCTTGACCAGTTAGAGATCAATATTAGTGGGGACGCATAAAGAGGGACAAATAAGTGAAATCTGAAGCAACTTTAAAATGTGT